TTTAATCGCTACCATCTACCTTATCAAAGCTTCTTACGTCTGTAGGTTGGCAACGCTTCTGATGTCTGTAGGTTGGCATCATATTCTGGACTCTTGTGTTTTTCCAACTGTTTTTTGGAGGGCAAAGGTGCTGTCCCAACAAATCGCTCACTTCCCTTGTCCTGAACCATCAAGCTGGGAGAGAAGGATGCGATATCGCCATCCGCCTGCGGAAGGGACGGACTGGTTGGAGGGTTGTTCAGGGTTGGCTGGGTACCGGGTTGCCGCTGACCAATTGTTGGGTGGATGAGGAGTGCCTCGCTAGCCATAACAAACGCATGAACGGACAAGGGTTTGGCAACGTAGATCGCATCTTTCATGATCTTTCTTGCAGTTCACTTGCAGTTCACTCGAAAGTTTACATGGTGAATTCTCTGAACTCAAACCATCTCCTCACCTTGATTCCCCACATGGGAGTCCAATTGGTCGGGAAACCAGTGGCCTTTCACCCTCACATGGCTCAACTCTGGAGACCATCCCCACCTCCACCCCCACACTCCAACAGTTCACAAGGACACCAATGGCCGAAGCCGATCCCTCGAGCCCCGATCGCTCTGCTCCGCTCTGCTCCGCTTGTTCTCAACCTCTCCACTTGGCCTCCAGTTGCGTGAGGAACGGGACAAACCCGATCGATTCCATGTGTTCTGCCTCGCGCGTGGCCGATGGATGCGGCGAGTGATCACGGGTCCGACGTACGGCCGAGCGGAGCGTTTTGGGCCAAGCTTGGTTTCCAAATGAGCCTCCCAGTAGCCGGAAACGCGAGTGGACCAAGTAAAGGTGTTCTTCAAATATTGGGGTCATTGTATGTCATTGTCATAGTCCCATACTTTAAATATCTTTAAATCATATACCTTTTGGTTCGGTGTTAGAAAAAGGCGATTCTCTGTGTCTGAAATCATGATACTGCTTACAACGCTATTCACCGTTTGCTCACAAATCCCCGTCAAGGTGGAGCATGTCCAATTTCAGTATAGTATTCATATGAATTGGGATGAAATCCCAATGTT